TGTCATGGAAAGAGCACAGGTTAGAAAACCAGGAGACTGGGCCAACTCTGGCAGTAACCTTAGCTAGGTCAGTAATAACTTTTCTGGGGCTTAGCTGCCTTACCTATAAAGCAAGAGGTAAACGTAAAATATTATGCTATAGGTCCCTTTCAATGCTAACATTCCACTTAAAAAAAAAAAGACACGTACATTCTCTCAGGTTAAAGTTCCAGTTCATAGATCTTATTTTTCAAGGCCTATAGTGTAATCCTGCCTCTGATCTTAGAAGGTAGGGGAAAAAAATTTCTGTAGATACCTGTAATCACAATTAAACATAATACACTACCTTAAACTATAGTTGCGGCTGTAACAAATTTAAATATTGGATATATCAGGAGATTACAGGGACATGGACAATAGAGACTTGACCAGGAGTTGATGGTATAACATTACTGCAGTTGCTTCAATGTCACTATATCTATTTTCATAATTATTCATAGAATTAACCCATGCAGTCAATTCTTATTATTTAGGTTATGTTATTCAAGCCCTTTGTTTCTATTTTTCTCTTCTACTCTTACCCTGTAGCTTAACTGCTTATTAACTCACTTTCTACTGAAGAAAATAAAATTTAAAATTTATTATTTACTATAAACTTTGACAAGTTAAAAGATTTGGGATTTGGCTGAAGAATAGGCTTAAGCTATATACAAAAAATAACATCTTTGAATTATCTAGATTTGATTCTATCACTGGTATTCCATTTCCATGGAAAACTGAGAATAACAGCCAAGAATTTTTCATGTTGGTCCACAGTAATGTGAACAAATCAAAAGCCAGAATTAAAATGTTCTACCTATTTAACTTTCTATATTTGGCAAACAGGGAAATAACACTATTTTTAAAGTATTTTCAAACATTTTGTAAAATTTCTCATGATCTAAAGTCCAAACACATCCAAAAAGTTCCCTAAAAAGGTAATAAAACTACAATGTATAATATTCAGCATAAGTTATGGCTTCCATCCCTTTTCTATACTGCTTTGGGCATAAATCCTTTACAACAGTAGGATAAATTTAGACTTTTTAGCTTTTTAAGATTTTACACATTAAGAGTAGATAATGTCTTCAGTGGTGTTCTCGACCTGCAAATAAAATTATATAATATATCTAGGGCTATGCCTCCACTGACCTTATCAAGAAACCAAGGCCAGAAATGCAAACTATGACCTCATAAAATGTTTAGCACAGAATAGGTAGAATGGCACTCAAGGTGCCATCTAACGATTTCTCTAGAATAGGTATCAGCAACATTTCAATATCACTGATAATCATCAGTGAGAGAAAGTCATGGCTATAGCATTGGATTAAGGCATAGTAAGAAAGAAGAAAGGGTGAAAGTGAATAAGAGTACAGAAAAGGAGATGAACAAAAGGAAATAAAAAAGAAAGCTATAATTAATTATCAGGCATGTGAGATGAACACTTACCGATCCCAGTGCCAGAGGACAAATATGAAAGCTCTAGTTGCCTCTAATGAATAGTAATATGTGGCACGTAAGTATATGGGCAGGGACCAAGTCAATATACTGAACCAACAGGGACCTGGCTCCTATTCAGACAGTACAAAAAGGTTAATATGGCAAACTGATGCTGGCATTCTTGGGAAGATGCCATCCAAACCCACTGAAGAGTGAAACCACTGCAGTCGATTAAATTTGTAGTCAAGGAAGACTGAGAAATAGGGAGACACCTCTGGATTCCCTCATCTTCCCAGCATGACTGGGACAACTAGATGGAAAGATACCACTGATGAAGTATGAACATGAGGAGGCACACACAGAAAGATGATGATTTGGAAATGGTGTTCCTTTTCTCTTTTCCATGGTTATCAGTCAGTCAATTTAGTCACTCAGTCATCCAGCTCTTTGCGACCCCATGAATCGCAGCACGCCAGGCCTCCCGGTCCATCACCAACTCCTGGAGTTTACTCAAACTCATGTCCATCGAGTCAGCGATGCCATCCAGCCATCTCATCCTCCATCGTCCCCTTCTCCTCCTGCCCCCAATCCTTCCGAGCATCAGGGTTAGGTTATACATTGTTAGTAACCGTCTATAACAAAAGAAAACTCCTACCCAAATATTTACCCCCATCTAAAAACATACCTTAAAATCAGAAATGGCCAGTGAAGGGACCAGATGCCAGCGTCTAGCAATATCAATGTTATGCTGCTGACATCTCACTAACCCTCCTACCAATAAGTCTGCTGATTGATACAGGAGACAGAAAAGGAAGTTTTATCTAGACAATAATTCCTATGTTCTGGTATCAAGATCTTAAAGGTTAAAAGAAGTCATGCCAATATCCTTTTCTTTATCAGTTAAAAATCTCAATTTCTGGGCATCCCATACCATGGCTTTAGGAAATCATGTAATCTTTAGAGACTCATCAAGCGCTGCAATTCTGGGAGCTAATGACTGAGGCAGATATAGAAGTTCAAAAGGTCATGAAACTGCTTCACATGCCAATGACTACACCCTGCTCTAAAGCATACTTCGCTGCCTACCAGAAGTATTAGGCTTACCTCTATGGCTAGCCACTGTCATCAAAGAAACAGGCCAGGTGGGAAAAGAGCCAAAAATCTTTGGTTGGAAAGTTTTCAAGGTAAGCAGACACTTACTTTAATAAAGTACGCTTGGAACAATTGTAAATAATAAATTAGGAGTAATAGTCATCAAAAGGCTATTAATTTTCTTGGATTTGTGACATCTTTTAATAGCATTATCATTATCACACGTTTTAAAACCCAAAACACAGGAGACAACAGCTGGGAGTCGGATCCACTACTTGCACTCTCAATCCAACTTCTTTCCTGCTCTCATGTATCTTCATGCCTCAACATAGATCCCAAACGTTACCAAGTACCTCAAAAGATACCCAAACACAACACCCAGGCACTGGCTATCTTCAGCTTAAAACACCACTGACTCTGTTTTCCAGCTGTTCCCAACTTTAGTTCAAGCCAGTGTTTTCTTTGGCAATGTTACTATGCCCCTCTAGAGACTTGGTTCCCTAAATTCTTTCACACCTAAACAGTGTTAAGATCTAACAACAGTTGCACACCTGAACCTCCCTCCTCCCAACACAGAAGCCATAGCCCTAAGCTACCACACAGAATCAAAACTCAAGCAACTGCGATGTGTGAAAGCTCCTGGAGGCTACCCTGAAAGGCAGAGAGCAACTCTGCCCTGACTCACATTCATTCAATAAATATTTATAGAGTCCTACCATGTATAAGAAGGCTCTGTGTCCTATGCCCTCTTTTATAAGAAGCTTCGTTTTGTTCTCACCTACGCACACCTGTGGTCTCTCGCCTCCTTAAGCAGGCGCTTTGCCAACTAAGAACACTGCTTCCTTCCCAAGACTCAGGCCTTCTCCCAATGCTTGAATCCTTAGTAACTTCTCTATAATCACCTAACTCACTATATTATTAGTATATTTTAACCTGATTGGGGTCTAAAATCTCTGCTGAACAGTGTTTTTCTTTTTCATTATGAGCTGACGGCCCTCTCATGTTACCACACTCACATCTTGATATAATTTAAGCTTGCATGCTGCCTGTGAGCAGTGGTTCTCACTTATGTGCATGTGAATCTCGCTACAGAGTTCACATTTCTGGTAAGTTCCCTGGTGATGCTTACACTGCTGGACCAGGGACCATACTTTGGAAATGATCACCTTGGAGAATCTGATGAAAGTTATGAGAGACTGCACTCACATACAAAATTTTGCATGCAATTTCAAAGGGTTCGTGAATGTTAATATGTAGATGCCTTTCTGCTCTATATTCTAAGAAATGTTTATGATCTACTGTTTCCTGACTTCACAGTAAGAAGTACTAATGGTACAAATGTGCATGCAAACACCTCCCAAGAGTAAGGAGGAAGTGCTTGATATTGGAAACTCAATTCTGTCCAATGGGTTGCCCTGTTCAGTTTCACGTGTCTCTTTTATACATGCTTGTAAACATTTTTCTGTACTTCTGGTTCAACTATTGAAAACAAAAGACTCATCACTTAGCATTTAAAACACACTGTGGAGTCACTCATACAAAACTATCTCATATGTGAGGAAGTGGTCTGGTAGAAAGAACATAAATACAGGATTAGGACAGTAGACTGAAATCCTGAATCTGCCTTTCTTAAAGATACAACCATTAACCTTCAATTTCCCCATGTATAAAACTGGAGATTTTAGAGGGAAATGATTTTTTTCCCCTTCTGGGCAAAGGTTATATGAACTCGCTATAAGGAATAAAAGGGGAAATGATTCTACTATTCAAAACCAACGATTCTTATTCATGGTAAGGAATTTAAATGCTGGATAGAGAGGGAATGTCTAAATCAAGAAAATGAAAAGACTGAACTAAATAATTTCTAAAATGTCTTCAAATCCAACATTTTGTATTTATGAACTATACCTAGACAGCATATTTTCTGTATGTATTCAACAATCACTTATTCTTTAACTCAGCACAAACTTAAAAAAACCACCATACATTCCTTTATCACACCCTTCCTTCCCTCTAGAGTGTCTAACAACATTCCAACATTCGTTGGAAGAATAAAATAAGTACGAATAATAAATTATTCTTTTCTTCAAATAGGCTGGTGTAAAATACATCTTGTCAACACAGAAAAGCCTTTTCAAAGAAGTTTCCCTCTGTATTTTCTCAACAGTTAGCCAGAAGCCATTAAACTCATCTTTAATCTATTCAGTAAGATCTCTCAGGATTCCACTATTAAGAGATATAGTTTACCAGGAGACGTTTTGTTTCTCAAGGACCAGATATTCTTTTTGCAATCTACAATCCTATTAGTTTGTTGAAGGAACTGTTACACTGGATATAATATGAGTGAATGTGTGACTGAACAGAAATGTCTGCTAAAATTAGTCGCCAAATCCTAGGTTCTATGAATTGATAAACTACCTAAGTGGCAAGCAATTTCTACTAAAACATACCTCTTGTAGAAGACGTGGGTCCAGGCACTCACCATCATCATTGAACATGGACTCCCAGCTCTCCTCAGTAGCAGCACTTCTTTCTGTGTGAGATACATCCGTTGCTTTCAGCTCCATGGATGTTTCCTTAGATACTGATTCTATATCAGGAAAGGATACACCAAATTCCACATTCTCTGAGTCACCATCTTCTGTTTTGAACTCTTCAGCAGTCTTAAGTTCATGTAGTGCCTCTGTTATATCACCAGTACCATCAAGATCACTGCCCAAGGCACTATCTGAAAATACGTTTGTCCCATTTAACATACTGAGTTCAGGGTCCAAAAAAGTGTTACAATTACTACCAGTTATCTTCTTTATAGGTAAGGAGGAAGCACAATCTGACAAGCTCTCTATCAACTTTCCTGTTGACTCTGTGAAACTAGATGAAATACTCTCAGCATAGATATCTGAGCAAGCAGTCAGGTTACTGAAATTTTCAGTGTCATTCCCACTTTCAGCTGCATGAAGAAGGCCTGTATCTGCATTCATTTCTAAACAGTCTGAGAAACTCCCTGTGTTGCTATAAGCTTCATCTGCTACTCTAACTGCAACTACACAAGGGCTGCCTACCCTCTGATCAGATATGGTATCTGTAATGTCCATTGGACATGTCTTATTGGTAATGTCACGTACACTCTCAGACTCATTATCTGTATATGTTTCATGAGCAAGGGCAGCTCTGTCAGAAGATTCGTGCTTTACACATAACTCATCAGCAGTGCTGTCATTCTCCTCACACTCTCTAATCGCTGTTGGATCAGAAATGTCATTTGTGCTCTCTAATTTGCTGTCCATATTCATTTGATGAGAGAGGTGATCCACAGTCTCAGGAATGGAATCCATACCTTTCTGACTCGAGACGGAACCTGTCCTATTGGCTGTATCACCAACATTCTCAGCATCCAAGTCTACGTAAGTCTGACCAATGATACCATCTGAACTTCCAGGAACAGAATCAGTAGTGATGGCGCCACTGCTGTACTTCAGCATTCCATCTAATGTTTGCATGCCTTGTTGTACAATTCCAGAATCAGAGTTTTGTTTTACTGGTGAGATCACACTCTCAGGTTTCACCACAGAATTAAAATCTCCAGGAAACTGGGATAGTATCTCCATAATCTTGGCATCAGTTTCCATTCTGTTTTCCAAATTTCTATCTTCAAATGTTTCCCCATTTAGTTCATTTCTCTTGATATCAGAGATTTCCACGTTTGTGGATGGCTTGTTTGGAACCCGAGCCTTACTGATTTCTGAACAAGATTGAGATAGAAGCAACCCATCATGTCCTATCACATCTCTGGTTTCAATCTCCAAACATTCTACCTTCTTTGGTGTAAAATGTCTTTGTAAAGGTACACTAGGTACAATCCCAGTATTGAAGACTCTTTGCTGATGTCCTTGGGATAATACTTCTTTGGATTCTGCAGTTGACCTCTTAGTACAAACCCTATCTTTCTTTCTTTCTTGAAGGCATGTATCTTTTTTAAATTTCGTTGAATATTTCTTTCCTTCTCTATGACTGTGCTCCTTTTTATCAGGATTAATACTTAGTCTTGGAGTCTCGCATTTGTCTTGAAAGATCTCCTTTTGGGAGAGAGAATCTTCCCTTTGTTCTTCTTTCACCACGGAGTTAGACGGACCACAGCTTTTTCCCTCATCACCTGATTTGAGTAGTACTATACCCCTTCGAGCTTTGGGTACATAAAGTGCCATGTCAGGCCTCCTGGCTCGAACTCTGCATCTCTCTGTTTCTTGCTGCATGGCACCACCTCAATCTGCAAGAAAAAAAAGACAGAATGATTCAATTACCAAAAACTAATTACAATGTATTGAACCAAGAGATTTTAAAGAAGTGGCCTACTAGTCCATCCTATAGAAACTCTCAAGTTCAAATAACTTTGTTTTGTTTTTTTCGTTTTGTTTTTTTTTTTTTTTTCATTTGTTTTTGTTGGTTGGAGGCTAGTTACTTTGCAATATTGTGGTGATTTTTCCCATGCATTGACATGAATCAGCCATGGCTCCTATTAAGTTTTAAAACCACAGCTCCAATTTCAAGGAAGAAATGCAACTTTACAGAGGCACTTACAGTCTACTAATAATGTTGACATCTAACTGTCCATGTTTCTTTTGTGCTCAAAACGTTGAGGCTTCAGAACTGCCAAGTTCAGTGAGAGTCAATACAGGATCCACTTCCTAAGGCAACAATTCCCTAGATTTGGGTAGGTACAGGTATTGACTGTGATCAAAAGACTTCAAGCCCACTGCAGTACAGGCAAGTTACAGGACTGCTCCCACAGAAATCTGGATGTACCAACAGGGTCATAGATCTCAGCTACTCTCCCTACCTTTTACCATAGACAGCCCATATGCCTGTACTTCTGGTTGGACTGTTCATATACCAGTCAATAGAGCTAGCTCGATCATTTAGAAAACTTGATAATTAATTGCTTGCTGAGTCAATAAGTTTAAGTGATCAGTGTGAAAAACCCAACCAGGTGTTAGGAGAAACTCCATAGGAGAGACTCCCATGTAGAGTTCTTCATCCTAATGTTGGAGAGTCTAATGTGATCGTTTCACTTTACTGACTAGGAAACTGAGAGCCAGAGATGAGCAGTGACCAGTTCAAGGTCACCCAGCTAGTAAGTGCATAGATGAAATGATGTCTTGGTTTTCTGGTTTCTAGTCTCAGAGAAGTATTTTTTTTTCACCCAGCTTCTATATCCTCTATATACCAAGTAAAATATGTCTATTTTACTTGCTAAGTAAAATATTATTTTAGTAGACTATAACAAAACTGCAATGGTACAACAGTTGCAACTGCTTACTAATGAGTATTAAAGACTTCTCTGCCTTATTAAGGTATAATTGACAAATAAAATTGTAAGATATTTAAGAAAAAAAAAAACTCTCAAGTTCAAAGTAAGTAAAACCTGCCATAAACTAATTAATGCAATCAGGTAAGCAACTAAAGAAAGTAAATTCTAAAATAATTCATGAACCCATGGATTTTTATCTTTATAGCCTCTTTCCTCTATCTTGCTGATTTTAGGAGTAACATGAATAAGAGTAGCATGAATGTGGGCTAGAAAATGAGACAACTAATCAGACTATTTTCTAGAAGATGCTGCTTGTAAACTATGATTTCAGGAAAGAAATAGGTTGTGAGAAAGAGAAAGTCATCATTCTATTAACACTATTTAATCAAGTGACCTACTATATATTTTTCTTCCTTCCGGTAGCAAATAAATCGGTCTAGGTACAGTAAAGGAGGGTGGAGGTCAAGGAATATGATGAGACAACTACTGGTTAACTCCCTGACAACCTCTACTGTGGTTGGCCAATGGAATTTAACAAGCGGGAAAATTTAACAAAGGTTAAATAAAACTTTATCTACTATCTACAAAATACAGGGGAATGTACTAGACAATTTCATAGTGAGTTATTCTTTTAATCCTCAAAATAATACTGTGAAATATATACTAGTCTGTCCAGTGCAAAAAGAGTAAGAAGATCCTACACATAGCAAAGAAACACCCATATACACTCAGAAAAGTGAAAGTGAAAGTCGCTCAGTCGCATCCAGCTCTTTGCAACCCCATGGACTGTACAGTCCATGGAATTCTCCAGGCCAGTCTACTGGAGTGGGTAGGTAGCCTTTCCTTTCTCCAGGGGATCCTCCCAACCCAGGGATTGAACCCAGGTCTCCAGCACTGCAGGCGGATTCTTAGAAGCATCACTATTAACATTTTACCACATACTTTTCAAAGGAAAAAGACAATAGGAGGGAAAGACTAACAAATACTGTTCACTCTATTACAGATCCCTGACATTTCACCTGATCAGAATACTTCCTCACTGAATAAGCTCCACTTTGATGGCACGGGCTATTTTCTTTTCAGCCCAGTGATCCACCTGTCCCTTTTCTCTTTTAACGTCTTAACTATCTAGCTCATCATTCTTCATGGATTTTCTACCTTTCCATTTGTGGAAGAACGTGACTTCAACATTTAACCATGCCAGGATCTTTTGAAAATGCCTACTTTTCAAAAATAGAAGTACTGAAGTATATTTCACTGGAGAGGACACCAGAGACATAGTGTAACCCAATCTCAGTTGAGCAAAGCATCTGACAAAATATATCATGATGGACTATAAGATAGTGAAATATGGGTGACTAAGAACTGGTAGGTAGACTCATAGCAAAAAGTAATGATAAGGTAGAAGCAAACTGAGAGAGGGCTATTTAATGGAGAACTATATTACTGATATCTTTCAAAGTTCAACATTTTAAACAAAAATTTCAATGCAAACAATAAACACTTTATCAAATGTGCAACTGATACAAAATTGACAGGATTAATAAATACCAAGAATGATAACATTATAATTTAATATCATTTATATAATCAGGAATGCTATGCTGAAAACAATATTAAGACTAAGAATGAATAAATACAAAGGCTTGCTTTGGGTTAAAGAAAATCAAGCAACATAGAATAAAATATATAACTGGAACACACACACACACACACAAAAGATCTTAGGGCTTTTACTTCATCTACAAAGTCAATAAAAGTCAAAAGATAGTGACGTGAATGTTTAGAAAGGCAACACGGTCTAAAATACAGAGTCTAGAAAATATATGACACAAAGTGTGGTTAAAGAAACTAAAGGTATACTCTGCTCAAAAAGGTCTAAATGGAGACAGTCCAGCTACCTTTGTACCTGAAGGATTGTTGTTCTACAAGGTTGGTTGCTTCTGTGTTTCTCCAGAAGTCAAGTACCAGAACTAGCTGGAAAAAATTAAAAGAAAACAAGTATACCTCAAGATAAAAAAGAACTCTACTTTTAGAATTCTCCAGCACTATTATCAGGTAAATGAGCTGGGCCTCTAGAATAATTTAAATACAGCCTAGACAATGGATTAACACTAGAGAAAGAATTTCTATCTGTAAGGCAGATTCGCCTGTATTAATTTTAAGAGTTCTTCAAACTCTAAATTATGATTCCATTTGTCATCCACAATAGACATATATCAAAGGCTTCAAATTTTAAATTATTTTGTGCTGCAGCAAATGGCTTTTGAAACTTAACCTTTTTTTTCTTAGTTAATGCCTATATGTTGCCATGATGATTTTGAAAGCTGAATAACAGTATAATAAATTTAAATTATTGTCTATTTTCTACCAAAGCACTGAATTTGATTATGCCCTGACCAGCACTGTGCTGGTAAATGTTTAGCAACTGGCCTTTCAAGTGTAGTTTGGGGTCCTGGGTAGTACTTTGATTTACATCAACGATGTCACCAATGTGAGTGGTGTGACTTCTTTGCTGAAGTGGATAATCATTTTTGAATGAAAGAATATATTCCCAGTTTTCTGAATTATGCACAATACAATAAATAGCCAAAGACATGGCACTTTTGTAAGTCAGCATTATTGGCACTGCTCTGTCATTTTTAAGCCTAGACAATCAATAAGCAATAAATCAAACCCTGATTCAGGCATTTGCTGATCTCTGTGGTGTGTAAATATGCCTATCGTGGTTAATTTCAAGCTACCAATGTGTTACCAGTGAACACTGAATTTGTTTTCCTATCTTGCCATTCATTTCTTAAAGAAAGTGGGTTAGGTGTCCTTTTAGAATTTACCACATTCTGGAGTTTGCTGCTTGTACTCTTTGGCACTCCTGCTGCTAAGTCACTTCAGTAGTGTCCAACTCTGCGACCCCATAGACAATAGCCCACCAGGCTCCGCCGTCCCCAGGATTCTCCAGGCAAGAACACTGGAGTGAGTCACTATTTCCTCCTCCAATGCATGAAAGTGAAAAGTGAAAGTGAAGTCGCTCAGTCGTGTCCAACTCCTAGCGACCCCATGGACTGCAGCCCACCAGGCTCCTCCATCCATAGGATTTTCCAGGCAAGAGTACTGGAGTGGGGTGCCACTACCTTCTCCACTCTCTAGCACTAGTAAGTTTTTATATATAATCTCTAAACTTCCTAAAAAATGGTGGCTGACCTACTGACTTGATAGAATTGGGGTTTAATCTTTTTTTAGCAAGTATATGGCATACATGGTGTTACAAACTTCCTACTGCATCACATCATAGAGCAATAATGTCTGATTATCTCCTTTTCTGTAATGTTACACACTGATCATTATTTGTATGTCTCTGAGACAACTGTATGAAGCTTTTATTTTACAATATATTTCTTGTCTGAAGATATCTTTACACTGCTCCCATTCTTTAAGGTATTTTGACTTCTACTGTTACTGTTCAGAAATCTGTCATTAGTTTGTCACTGATTTGTAAGGATCTCTCTTTCCTCTCTGATGAGTCTCAAGATATTCTCTTACATGTTGTGTTTTCTTAGGTGTCTACTCAGTGTTTTGGTTTGTGTTTATGATTACTTTTCTACTGGGATAACATTATGCTTTTGAATTTTACCAATTCTATTTATTCAGGGCAGTACCTATGGACGCATCTTCTGTATCATTAGTTTTCTCTTCACATTCATCTTTTTACATTACATCCTATCCAATCAGCTTTTTTTTAATGACTAAAGTTTTATTGTGAAGTGCTATTTATCACCCAACCTGGCCCTGATCTCCATGGCCTTTATGTTTTTTAATAGTTTTGTTTTTCTTCTTCTATCTTTAATCATTTTTAATATTTCTATTTTATTAATGTTAAGGGCTTCCCTAGTAGCTCAGTTGGTAAAGAATCTGCCTGCAATGTGGGAGACCTGGGTTCGATCCCTG